GCCTAATGAGCCATGGTAAGGAATTTGAATTTTATTTCTAAGTGCAAAAAAAGAAAAATCAATAAAGAGTTTTAAACAGGGGAGTGACATGATCCAAAGATCAAATACACTATTACCTAGGGTAGTGGCTCTAATGAAAGGAGTTGAGGAGTCCAAGTCAGAGGCAATGTGGAGCTAAGAGCAAAAGGGATTTGATAATGGAATAGGTATGAGGTTGAGGAGGAGTTGAAGGTGACTGAGCCTGCTGGGCTTAGAATGAATATGCCATAAGAAAGAATAGAATATAAGAAAGTCAGGACCAGTTATTTTATTTATTTATTTTTTTGGTGACGAAGATTAGCCCTGAGCTAACATCTGTTGCCAGTCCTCCTCTTTTTGCTGAGGAAGATTGGCCCCGGGCTAACATCTGTGCCCATCTTGCTCTACTTTATATGTAGGACACCTGCCACAGCATGGCTTGATAAGCAGTGCATAGGTCTGCGCCCAGGATCTGAACCTGTGAACCCTGGGCCGCTGAAGTGGAGCACGTGACCTTAACCACTGCACCACCGGGCCAGCCCCAGAAGCAGTTATTTTACTGGAGAAGAGGGAAAAGATGTTGATTTTTAGCTGCTCCAGAACTGCCAGGTAAAAATGTATCTAGCATATAGTCATAAATGTAGGTTTAATACTTAGGAGAGAGTATAGGGCCAGAAAAAGATTCAGGTACCATCTACATAGAATAAATGAGATTTTAATGAAAGAGTATATAGAGGGAAATAAGGGTAGAGGCTGAAGGCAAATTTTTTTAAGGGAATAACTGTGTTTAGCAGCAGGAAGGAGGCAGAGGAAGAGCAGTCTAAGAGGTTGAGAGAAAATAGTAATGTCACAAAAGTTGTGGGACAATGAAATATTAAGAAGGAAGGGAGAATAGAAATTTCAGATACTGCAAAGAATCTGAGCCTGGGGTAGAGGGAGGAGGCAGAGTCTGAATTTGATAAAAGTCACTGGTGACAAAATGAGAGGAATGAGAGGGAAATCAGACTGCAGCGAGTAGGTAATGAGGAAGTAGAGGTTTTTCAATTCAATAACCATGTTTTAAACCAGTAAATGGTATTCATTGTAGAAAATCTGGGTAGTTAACAAATCTTTAGGAATCTGCTATATGCCAGGCATTGGGCCAGGTTCTAGGACACAAGAAAGAATAGTGTGATTCTTCTATTCAAGAAGATTACAGTGAGGGAGAGAGACGTATAATTAAAAACTCACCATTCTTCAATTCCTTCATGTCTTCACTTCCCTCCTTCTCTGCTTAGAGTCCACGGTCCATTATTAAAATTACCCTTGTGAATATATCCTCAGCAAACTTGCTCCTCTGTCTCTCCATTGTAGTCACCTAACTATTCCAACACTTGTTCAATTCAGCTCTCCATCTATTCCTTGCATATACCTGGGCTGCTGAACATGGAGAAAAATACACCATGCTGACTGGTCTCACATTAAATTTGTGACTACTGATCTTAAGTGGGCCTTTAGTATATAGCCCAGCTGAATTTCTGCATATCCGCAGTCCATTTGCTCTCCCACTTTCCTAGATGAAAATTTCACATGTTCTTTTTTTCTCTTCAAATCAACAATCCATCTTCCCCCTTTTAACTAAGAAGTTGCTGCCTATTTCACTAAGAACATGGGAGCAGTCAGAAGAGATCTAACTCCCTCATGTTCCTGTTGCCACAGCTATCAAACATATTTGCACTGGAATGTGAATACTCTGCCTTTTTCCTGTTCCAGTGGATGACTTCATGTCCTTGTCCAGGATCCATCTCTCTACTTGTGGACTGGATCCTATCCCATCCCATCCCTCGAATCTACTCAAAGACATCACCCTAGGAATTATCTTGTCCTTTCAGTTTTTGTTTTCTCTACTGAGCCATTCCTATCAGTATATAAATAAACTATATTGTCTCCCCTTTAAGAATAATAAATAAAGAAAATTCCGTTGACCCTATATCTCTTTCCAGCTACTTTTCTATTTCTCTGCTCCCGTTTAGAGCAATATTCCTCAAAATAGTTGTCCAAAGGCATTTCTTCTTCCTCTTCTTTCTTTCTCTGTAACCTATCCCAGTCAGGCTTCCTTCGTAATCATTCCACTGAAACCATTTTGTCAGGATTGCTTAGTCATCTCTGCTTTGCCAAGCCCCAAGATCATTTACCCAGTTGATCATTTCTTCTTTGTTGAAATGCTTTTTTAAAAATTGGTTTTTAGGATACCACACTGTTAGTTTTACTTCATTAATTGCTCTCTCTTGGTTTCCTCTGCTGGTTCTTCCTCATTTCCCTGACTAGTAAACACTGGTGTACTCCAGGGCTTAGACCTTGGACTCCCCTTGTTCAGCTATGCTCATCTTCAAATAGCATCTATAGGCTGACAACTCCTGATTTTATACCTCTAGCCCAGACCGTTCTCCTGAACTTTAGATTCTTCAAGTAGGCAGCTTGATCATCTGCTCTTGGATGTTCACTAGTCACTTAACATGTCTAAAACCAAAATGTTTTTCCCCCTTTAAACATGTTCTTTTTATGTAGCCTTTTTCATTTCAATAAATAAAAATTCCATTCTTCTAAGTGCTTAAGATAAAAACCTTGAAATCATCTTTATCTTGTCTCTTTCTCTCATCCAGGCCATGAGCACATCCTGTCAGCTCTCTCTTCAAAATGTATTCAGAATCCCACCATTTCTCAGTATCTCCATTCCTACTAGCCTTGTCCAAGACACTATCATCTCTTGCCTAGATTATTTTAACAGTCTCCCAACTGATCTTTCTACTTCTACCCCTGCCCACTTTGAATGGTCTCTTCTTAACGTAGCAGCTAGAGTGAGCCTTTTAAAACACAAGATAGATGATATCACTCTGCTCAAAACCCTATTGTTTCTCCCCATCTTACTCAGTAAATGCCAAAGCCCTTACAATGGCCTACAGCCTGTTATGTGATCTGAGCTCCTTTTACATCTCTTACTTCGTCTCCTACTACTCTCCTTTTTGCTCATTCAGCCTCAGCATCACTGGCCTCCTTGCTATTCCTTGAAATGCCAAGGTTGCTTCTACCTCAGGGGCTTTGCACTTGCTGTTCCCTCTGCCTGGAAAGCTTTTACCCCAGATCTGCTGTGCTGGCTCCTTTGCTTCGTTTAGGACTCTACTTAAATGTCACCTGAACAGAGTGGTTTTTGTTGTGCAACATATATAAAATAGCAATCCCTCCACCCCCAGAACTGTCTCTTCCCTTTACTCTGCTTTATTTTTTTCCATAGGACTTATTACCATTTGATATATCTAGTTGTTTATGTTTATGTTCTATCTTGATGAGAAATTCTTTATCTTCTTTATAACCTTAAAGATGGAGATATGTTCCTCATGCTCCTAAACTGGAAGTTCCATGAGAGCATGGACTGTATCTGGCTTGTTTATCATGATATCCACCGTGCCTCATACAGTTCCTGGCACATAGTAGATGTTCAGTAAATTTTTTTGAGTGAATGTGTGCCTTTTAACTTTTCTCTAGTGGAGAGACCAGCTTGCATTTATTGTGAGTATATATGTGGGTGTACACACACAAAGTATAGTAACTACATATGATTAGGTGGTTCTTCTAATGTACATTTTATAGGAATAATTCTTTGTCCATCTAAGTACTGATCTTCTAAGCATTATTTAATTTAAATCACTCCATAGATTCAAACCTATTGTGTTTGACCTTTCACAAATCCCAATGCCTCATCTATCATGTGTAATAGCATGGCATAAAGAGATACAGAGGCATATTTTTTCCCCCGTTAAGTCTCCATGCTGCTATAGGAAGAGTTGAGTGGGTATGGTGCAGTGTTTTGCTATGATACAGTGAATCGACCTGCTGTGGTTTTACATTATACCCTATGAGTCTTGCAAAACATTGACATTTTAAGCTTTGGTTATAAATTATCTTTTAAGGGACCATTGGATATGACTCAATAAATGAAAGTGGTCTGAACTATTCAAGCATCAAATTACACCCATCTGTTATAAATGGCTCTTCAAAAGCTATACTTTGTAAAACAGTTGAATGACAGTTGAATCATTTACATATTGTGATGGCCTAAATAAATAGTTATTTCCAAGAATTATAAGCAAATATAAAAGACAAAATAATGTAAGGTGCTAGATTAATAACTCAGTTATAAATCATTCAAGGAGCTTAATTATGTTTGCACATTAACAATAAAACCTTGAGTGTGTTGGTGATTGTGTGACAAATGTTTATCATCCTCCTTCATATAGAGATAGCCTCTGCTTCCCTCCATAGACACACCACCACATATCTTTAGGTTCTAAAGATATTGTCTCTGTTCTTCCTGAAAAAATATTGTTAGAATTTAAGTTAGAAAATTCGTTCAGAAAATAAACAAAAGATACAATTTACTTCTGTTTTAATTGTTTTTCTTAAGTGATTATTTTTGCTAAATTCGTTGATACTGAATGCTGTGGAGGTATGTTGACCTTTAGTAACCAAGATATTTTATAGACCAAGGAAATAGTTGTAAAAATAATACATCATAGGGGCTGGCCTGGTGATGTAGTGGTTAAGTTTGTGTACTCTGCTTCAGTGGCCTGGGGTTCGTGGGTTCGGATCCCGGGTGTGGACCTACACACTGCTCATCAAGCCATGCTATGGCGGCATCCCACATACAAAATAAAATAGAGGAGAATTGGCACAGATGTTAGCTAAGGGACAATCTTCCTCAAGCAAAAAGAGGAAGATTGGCAGCAGATGTTAGCTCAGGGCCAATCTTCCTAACCAAAAAAAAAAAAAAAAATCATATATACTTTTACATAACTAATTATATATGAGTTTTCACATGTTCCAGTCTCATTAATGTAGTAAAACATGTTTATTATGTGATACCAATCTTTCATATCTCCATATGAAAGTAGCACTTCAATAGAATTTTTGGGAAAACAAAACTACAGTTGTCTTTCTGTTCACAGGAAGGGAGGCAATAATAAGTTAATAAAGATCTATCATCGAGATGGTAAATATGGCTTTTCTGATCCGCTGACATTTAATTCTGTGGTGGAACTCATTAACCACTATCATCATGAATCTCTTGCTCAGTACAATCCCAAACTTGATGTGAAGCTGATGTACCCAGTGTCCAGATACCAACAGGTACGATTATAGAAGTTCTTGATAGCTATTCAGCAAGTCATTGTTTAACAACAACATTTGATTCTAATTTACCAGGCTTATCACTTAAAAAAAAAAAAGAAGTGTAGTCATTTTAAATTTCCTACTTAAGATTTATGATATTTTTGGAATTTATTTTGTGGCTACTATTCCTTAATACCTTGTTGCATGTATTTATTAACTTCATGTAAAAATACTTTTGTTTATGTTTCCTGTTTATAGTTCATTTCTTAATTTTAGAAGCATTAACTATTTTGATGTGATCTAAAGGCTGATCTTGGTGTTAACAAAAGGATTTAGTGCTTTTGCATGCTTGATATTAATATGATAGCTTAAACTTACAGTAGAAATGCAATTTAAAAATAAATAGATGTGTAAAAATTCATGTGTCAGAATTAACATTCTCTATATCTTTTGTTTACTTGTATAGGACCAGTTGGTAAAAGAAGATAACATTGATGCAGTAGGTAAAAAACTGCAAGAGTACCACTCTCAGTATCAGGAAAAGAGTAAAGAGTATGACAGACTATATGAAGAATATACCAGAACATCCCAGGTTAGTATATTTTTGTTGTTTAGGCCAATAATTATGCAATGTTACAGTTACATCAGATTTTCTATAATTCCCCTGACGATCTTTAGCTTAGTATCTTAAACAGCCTTTTTGAGACTTTGATGATGTAATTCCTCTCCCATTCATAAATCGTTTTTTTATTGGTTAAGGATCTAATTTATATCGGCTAGTATTAACTAGGATAAGGTTTGACTGCAAGTGACAAGAAATAACAAAATAACAAAGGCTTCAGAGAGAAATTCATTTTTCTTTCATGTATAGGCAGTGCCGGGGGTGTTAAGGCAACTCCACAGTCATTAGGGCTTAGGGTTCTTTTGTCCCAATGCTTTGCTATCTCTGAAAGTTGGCTCACTCCAATATCAGCCATCACAACCATATTCCAGCAAACAGGAAGGAAGAATAGGAAGGAGAAAGGAACATTGTCCATTTTTAAGGCTACTTCATAGAAGAAGCACTCACTGCTTCCACTTTCATCCCACTGGCTAGACATAGCTGCAGATCATGACCAGTTGCAGGGGAGACTGGGAAAGCTAGTCTTTATTTTGTCAGGTGTGCCCAACTAACATTTGGAAGTTTACCTACAGAGGAAGAGAGAACTAATGGAAACTGTAGAACCACTAGTAATCTCAGCTACACAGTTTTTAGATCATCAACCTTAATAGTCAATAATATTTCTTTTATCACATTTATGATATAGAGCAAAATTCTGAAGAATAAACTAGTTCTTTTCCTAGAACTGTTTTTTTTCTAGTTCTTTTCCTAGAACTACTTTGATTCTTTTTTAGTTACACTTGGATTGGTTTAATTTTCCCTGAGTTATATAGTATGTAAAGGGTGCTGGGAATTTTTATGAAGGTTCACGTCTCCAGAGAAGTTTATCTGTTGCAATATTTGGGTCAGTAGTAGCCTAAGAATATATATTTAACTGGGTTTCTCATGCATGTACTTTTGAAACAGAGGATTATTTTGAAGATCAAATGATTTATAGAAGCATTGGTCTGTGTTGATTAGTCCATGTTGTAGTAGCATTAGTCCATTCTACTAAATTCAAAGTGAAGTCTTAGGGCTGGCCCCGTGGCTTAGTGGTTAAGTGTGTGTGCTCCGCTACTGGCAGCCTGGGTTCGGATCCCGGGCGTGCACCGACGCACCGCTTCTCCGGCCATGCTGAGGCCATGTCCCACATACAGCAACTAGAAGAACGTGCAGCTATGACATACAACTATCTACTGGGGCTTTGAGGGGGAGGAAAAAAAAGTGAAGTCTTACTGCCACAATTACTTGCCGGAGTCCTTTCTAGGAGATAACAATAATGGATTTTTTCTTGTGTTTATTTTCTATTTCATAGATTTCTGCTCTTATCTTTATTATTTCCTTTCTTCTGCTTTCTTTCAATTTAATTTGCTCTTCTTTTTCTAGCTTCTTAAGGTAGAAATTTTGTTCCTTGGTTTTAAAACTTATTTTCTAATATAAGCATTTAAAGCTATAAATTTCCCTCTAAGCCCGGTTATAGGTGCATCCTACAAATTTTGTTATACTGTTGTTTTCATTATTCAGTTTTAAATATTTTCTAATTTCCCTTGTTATTTTTTTCTTTGGCCCTTGTGTTCTTTAATTTCTAAATATTTGGGGATTTTCTAGGTATTATTTTATTTGTTACTAATTTAATTTTGTTGTAGTCTTATGTAGTCTGTGTAGTCTAATGGCAGTGAACATATTCATTAAGGTTACAGTCTTTTGAGATTAATTGACTTATGACCTAGCGCATACCTTATTTTGGTAAACTTCCCATGTGTACTGACAAAGACTAGTATAGTTGTTGGTATAGTGTTCTAGAAATGTCAATTAGGTCAAGGTGATTGATAGTGTCATTCAGATATTCTATATCTTTACTGATTTTTTTTTTTTTTGCTAGTTCTGTCAGTTATTGGGAAAGAGTCTTAAAGTCTCCAGTTACAATTGAGGATTTGTATATTTCGCTCTGTTAGCTTTTGCCTTTTTTTTTTTTAAGATTGACCCTGAACTAACATCTGTTGCCAGTCTTCCTCCTTTTTTCCTTTTTTTCCCCCAAAGCCCTAGTAGATAGTTGTATGTCATATTTGTACATTCTTCTAGTTGCTCTGTGTGGGACACTGCCTCAGCATGGCTTGATGAGCGGTGTGTAGGTCTGCGCCCAGGATCCGAACTGGCGAACCCTGGGCTGCTAAAGTGGAGCGCGCAAACTTAACCACCACGCCACCAGGCTGGCCCCAGCTTTTGCTTTTTGTATATTGAAATTCTATTAGGTGCTTACACATTTGTGTAAGTTTACCCTTTTATCAACATGAAATATTCCTCTTTATATCTGGTAATCCTCCTGCTCTTGAAGTCTGCTTTTTCTGATACATCCCCACCGGATTTCATATACTGACTATTTGCATGATATATCTTTTTCTGTCCTTTTACTTTTAATCTATTTGTGCTTTTATATTTCAAGTGCATCTCTGGGCCGGCCCCGTGGCTTAGCGGTTAAGCGCGCATGCTCCCCTGCTGGCGGCCCAGGTTCGGATCCCGGGCGCGCACCGATGCACTGCTTCTCCGGCCATGCTGAGGCCGCATCCCACATACAGCAACTAGAAGGATGTGCAACTATGACATACAACTATCTACTGGGTCTTTGGGGGGGAAAAAAGAAAAAAAAAAAGGAGGAGGATTGGCAATAGATGTTAGTTAGCTCAGAGCCAGTCTTCCTCAGCAAAAAGAGAAGGATTAGCATGGATGTTAGCTCAGGGCTGATCTTCCTCACAAAAAAAATAAATAAATAAAGTGCATCTCTTATAGATAATATGTAGTTGGGTCTGGCTTTTTTTTTTTTTTTCTTTCTTTTGCTGAGGAAGATTTGCCCTGAGCTAACATCTGTGCCAATCTTCCTCTATTTTTATGTGGGTCGCCATCACAGCATGGCTGCCGATGAGTGGTGTAGGTCCACGCCTGGGAGCCAAACCCGGGCTGCCAAAGCGGAGTGCACCGAACTTAACCACTAGGCCACAGGGCTGGCCCCTGTGTCTGGCTTTTTAAAAAATCCAACCTGACAATCGCTGCCTTTTAACTGGAGTATGTAATCCATTTGTATTTCTTGTAATTGTTGATATGGTTGGGTTTATGTTCACTTTTTTGCTATTTGCTCCATCTGTTTTTTGTTCCTCCACAACTCTTTCACTGTCTTCTTTGGGGTCAAACACTTTTTGGTATTCCATTTTGATTCCTCATCTGGCTTTTTGATGGCTCTTTTTTTTTTAAACGTAGTTGCTCTGAGGATTACAACATGCATTCTTAATTAATCACAAGTAAGTTCATATTGTACTATGTATCATGTAAATCTAGTAACCTTGCAACCACATAATTCTATTTCCACGTCTTATTGTTGTCATATATTTTATATCTACATGTGTAACCCCATAGTTCAATGTTACAATATTTGCATTAAACATTCCATTATTTTTAGGTTAATTTTAGAGAAGGAAAAAACAAAGAGACTTTTGTATTTACTCATATGTTTACCATTTCTGGTATTCTTCATTCTTTCCTATAAATTTGAGCTTTCCTCTGATATCATTTCACTTCATCCTGAAGAACACTATTAATACTTCTTGTAGGGCAGGTCATTTGGCAGCAAATAGCGTCAGCTTTCGTTGACCTGATGATGTGATGTATGTATTTTGCATTCATTTTTTCACTTTTATATAAAATTTTTTTATTAAAAATTTTTGTTGTCTTGTGGTAAAATATACATAACAAAACATTTGTCATTTTAACCATTTGTAAGTGTACAATTCAGTGACATTAAATACATTCACCATGTTATATAACCACCACCACTCTATACCCAAAACTTTTTCGTCATCCCCAACAAAAACTCTGTACCTGTTAAACAATAACTCCCTCTCCTCCCTCTCCCCAGACCCTGGTAACATTGTTACCTCAAGTAACCTATACTTTCTGACTATGAATTTGCCGCTTCTAGGTACCTTATACAAGTGGAATCATAAAATATTTATCCTTTGTCCTGGCTTACTTCACTAATTATAATGTTTTCAAGGCAAATCCATGTTTTAGCATATATCAAAATTTCATTCCTTTTTATAGCTGAATAATATTCCATTGTATGTATATACCACATTTTGTTTATCCATTCATCTGTTGATGGACATTTGGATCATTTCCAGTTTTTGCCTATTGTGAATAATGCTGCTTTGAACATTGATGTACAGATATCTGTTCAAGTCTCTGCTTTCATTTCTTTTGGATATATACCTAGAAATGGAATTGCTAGGTCATCTAGTTCTATTTTTAACCTTTGGAGAAACTGCCAGACTGTATTCCACACCAGCTAAGCTATTTTATGTTCTCACCAGCAGTGCATGAAGGTTCCAGTTTTTCCACATCCTCTCTAAGACTTGTTATTTTCTGTTTTTTAAAAATTTTTATAGCCATTCTAGTAGTTGTGAAGTAATATCTCATTGTTTTTGTTATTGTTGAGTTTTAGGAGTTTTTAAAAAAATATAGTCTACATATTAATCCCTTATCAGATTTATGACTTTTATTTTATTTTTTATAATTTTATTTATTTATTTTTCCCCCAAAGCCCCAGTAGATAGTTGTATGTCATAGTTGCACATCCTTCTAGTTGCAGTACGTGGGACGCAGCCTCAGCATGGCCGGAGAAGCGGTGCGTCGGTGCGCGCCCGGGATCCGAACCTGGGCCGCCAGTAGCGGAGCACACGCTCTTAACCGCTAAGCCACGGGGCCGGCCCAGATTTATGATTTTTAGATATTTTTCCCCTTCTGTAGGTTGTCTTCGCTTTCTTGATAGTATCCTTTGCAGAAATGGTCTTAATTTTGATGAAGTCTAACTTGTCTGTTTTTTCTTTTGTTACCTATGTTTTGGGTATCATATTCATGAAATTGTTGCCAAATCCAATGTCATAAAGATTTTCTCCAATGTT